ACCAAGTGTAAAGTGAAGGATGATGATGATGTGTGTTAGTTCCCTCAGCTTTGTTCTAATATATCAAAGTAGTAATTAAGTAGCATTTTATGATATATGGATTGCATGATCTTGATTATTTATTCTTTCTCGGTTTGTTGTATTTCAAACCTGCGGATTCCAACTTCTCTCTTGATTTCTATTTTTCTTTCCTTTTTGTTGAAGGAACGAAATAATAAAAATAAAAAATTATGAGTACTTTTTGACAGTTTTATTAATCAAATAGGTTTTTGAGTTGGATGATGAAAGTTTGTGAATATATTTTTTTTTTGAAAAACATGAGAAAAGAAAAATAAATATGGACTTTAATTTGCCCCATCAATTGATAAAGGCATTTTTCTTTTTCTTTTTTAACAATTGGGTATCTTCAGGTTAATTTTCACATATAATAAGATTAATTTTTTTTTTGGTACAATCAAAGACATACCATCTATATCGAAACTAAGAAATTTATTAAAAATTACTCCTTTAATCTCTTTAAAAAATCAAATCTTACTCAACAAGTAGGCATAATTGCAACTATGTTCATTGAAATATGACAAATGAACACATCTATTTGCGTTAAGAGAATAATAGGTATTATAGTGTAGTTCATAATGACCTTAATTTTACCGTATGACCTTGCCCTAACAATAGCACAACCATGTATGTACATGACATACTATAATCTCTACCAACAAGAGCTTAACCAATACAGTATTTATTTTAAATTTGATCAAATATAAGTATATCATCATTTACATTTCAAATTATCTTTTTCTTTTTCTTTTTTAAACTTGTAGGGCACATGTTTATGGACAAATTTTTTAATATTAATTGGCTTTGAAAAATTAGAGTTGATCTTTATTTAATCACTTAACTAATTAAAATAATTTATAATTAAAATAATCTATATGACTTTTTTTTGTTATTTTCAATACCAATATCATCAGAAGGATGTATAACATGGTAATGGCACAAATTGAAAAAATCCTTTAAATTGTTATTTATAATTTATGATATCAAGTCACTCTAAACAACCTCGGATCGAATCTTAGTGATGCCTAAAAGTAGTTTAGTCCTCAATTGCCATAAGTTACCTTAGATTTGAGGTGACATGCAGTTCATAAATTTTTGATTTAATACTTTTACAAACTCAAATATAGAAAGGCTATAGCTAGACCAAAAAGACTGAAATTTACTAATGACCTTTTTTTAGAGTTTAAATATAATTATTTTTATAGCTGTGTCATATAATTTCTAGAAGAAATTATGTGTATTACAAACAAAAAAAATGATGCATATTAAAGTTTTAATCGGTGTCAAGTTATGCGAGTACTTGTTAAATTACTCCCAGGGGATTCAACACCACTCAATAACAAGTAAGATTAAAGGTCAAAGGAAGGAGCTTGAGAGTTAGAACCATGTGTGGACTGGTGCATTAGCCGGGGTACAATATTCCTGTATGGATCTTCTTCTCTTTTCTGCTTCAAGTAAGCAATGCATCTATGTAAATACAGTTGATAACATTTCTCCCTATCTTTCAGTTCTTGCTTTCTTCCTTTTATATAAT